CTCACTGGCATTTTGAAACAAAATGCTTTTTCAAACATAATAGCCTTTGTTCCAAACACTGTCATACTAACACCTGATAATAAAGATTGATGGATTCAACTAAATCCAACTAAAAAAATCAGCAAAGCCAGTGTACCATGTCTTGGTTAAGCAGCATTTACGAGTTCAAGTTCAAGTGGCTTTATTGTCATTATAGCTCAAGACCCCAGTGAACTCAACTTTGAAGTCAACTTTCAGTCCGTGTACAGGCTACTAGCGGAAATGAGTTTGTTAGATACTCAACCATTCAATTATCCTTACAAGTATATATAATGTTATGATTTCTTTTCAGTACTTGTTCAAGATCTACTTTACCATGGACACTCACTCCAGGATTTTATTGTGAAACAAGTTCAGAACGATTGAAAAGGCCAGTTTGGCTAATTCCTAAAGGCTGTAGAGGCAACCAGCCTAAAGAAACACTGGGCACTTCACTTGGTCTAAACATGGTTTGCAAGTATTCTTTCAAGTACACAATTATTTTACAAATTATTTATCTATTAAAGACTCAACCATCCAATTACTCCTACCAACATACATAATGTGATATGATTTCCTTGTATTAAATTTTTAAGACCTACTTTATTGTGAGTGCTCAGTCCAGACTTCCTAAAGTCTTGTAGAAGCGACCAGCCTGAACAGAGTCTGGGCTCTTCACTTGCAATGTAATCCTGGTCTAAAAACAGGTGGTTAAGGACTCAACTATCCAATTATCCTTTGAAACACAATCATTTCACATATTTCTTTCTCTTTTGTATTTTCTGGGTTCTTTTTTCCATGGACAAGATTACAGTGCAAGCCCAGAACAAGCTGTTCCTATGGAAGCAACCAGACTTAGAAAAACATCAGATGAACAGCCACATGTCAAATTCACTCTGTTAACTGAGGGAAGTCTGTTTGATGCAGGCTGAGATTGACCCACCACCAGGAAGATGAAGTGTAGTAAGTGCTTGGCAGTAGTAAGACTCAGATGGGTCTGCTGACTGTGGAAAAAACTCCGAATCCTTCCTTCCCCCTGGGCTTCAAACCTTTGGCCGGAATTCAGCTTCACATCTAGACCAACGCACACCTAACAGCAGGAAATTTTAACAACAACAAAAAAAGCAAAGTGAACTAAAAGTAAAGTGTCAAAGTGGCGCTAGTCGCTGTAAAAACGTGTCAAAATCCGTGCCAAGCCACTTTCTGCCCGTCTGCCTTCTTCCACGATCAACCCCACCATCACCATCGCAGTGATAAATAGGACATTACAAGGTAGCCATTTGCATGCTCTCGAAACAAGTTGAGGGTGAACACGTCTCCACTTACGTAAATGGCTGATGGTGTGATCTCTCTATTTCATCCCACAGCACTCAGCCGTGAGCTCTGCCATCCACAACTTAACGGCGACGCACATCGCAGCAAATCAAAGTTAAATTTACAGATATAATCACTCCCGGTTCGCCTGAAATACTAAAATTACGCACACACACCGCCGCTCGGCCGTGTTTACAGCGGGGCTACTGTACTTGCGCAGCAGGGAGACGGCTTTTTTCTCTCCAACCAATCTGGGTTTAACCCCAAGAGACACACGAAGAAACAATACAGCCCGATCTGAGCGCAGCGCAGCACAGGAGGATCAAAATCATCCGAGTGCCAGAAATTTGTTAGTGAAAAAACTTGCAAGCATAAAGAGAAGCACAAAAAACATCCAACATATACCATATTTGCATAAGCAGGCTGATGGTGCCTATTTACTTCAACAGGATTGTCAGCACCCCTCCATGCGATCTTTTAAGTAACTAAAGAAAAAAACCCTCACTGTATGGAAATATCCAGTTACGACGAGCTGTCGTGCGTTAGTGTAAGTGTTATCACGCCTTTCCGTCCGTCACTCTCTGGAAACAGCCCTCGTTATTCTTATTTTCCTTTTATTTACTCTGTATTTTTCTCTGTGTAGGGGTCGCCTCCACTCTGCCACTCTGCACGGGCCGCGACTGCATCCTCGGTCTCACCTTCCTCGCCTTCAGCCCGCAGGTTCCTCTCGCTCGGGTTGTGTGTGGGGATGCTGAGACGCTGCCGTTACCTCCGGCCACTCGCAGTCCCAGGCACCGGCGAGCCGCGCGGACACTCCGATTGGCCCCCGCCGAGCGCCAGGCCCCGCCCACCGTGCCGCCGATAGGCTGGAGCCGGTGACGCGCTCACGTCCCTGTTTGTTGTCGTCTCGGAGCGGAGGGGGAGGAGACAGGCGGAGGGTGGCGGAGGAAAGATGTGAATGGGGCTGGCGTGGATGGAGTGGTTGAAGGGAGAGTGGACGAAGCGTGGGTTTAGGACCCTGACCAACGCCTCAGCAGAGGTCAGCCTCACCAGGTTAGTGTTTCACTGTAAGTTGGTCTGCTGAGTTTCACTGGCTTTCACAAGAAGCCCCCCAAAAGAATGAATGGGGATCCAGGGGGTCACGAGGTACAACTCTGTTGTTAGCCCACATGAACTACACTTTGAAAAGTGCTTTAAAAAAGGGTCCCATATTATGGAAAATCAAAATTTCTTTGCTTTATGGAAATAAGGGTTTGAAACAGTGTATAAGTATTCTTTAACGTATAAAACTTAAGTGTTCACTCCACAATTCATACAGTCCAATTCTAGAAAAAAAACTGCCTTTTTCTATATACAAGTAGGTATGCACCAATACTGGAATTTGTTTGGGCAAGAATTGGGAACAGCTTATTGGAAATCAGCATTACAGAGAAATATAATGTGGTGTCTGCAGAGAAAACATGGAAATCTTAACTAACAAACGACAACAACAGCTGAGTGTGTGGCATACTTTCACCACGTCAAGGGTCAGCTGGTATGGCAGCCCACACAGTCCGAACAAAGTCTCTGAGGTGCACTGGAGCACATCGCCCCTACCACAGCCTCTCTGTGGCTGGGTTTTGGAATGTCCATTGTCCTGGTCAACACAACTGCCACAGGGCATGGTCTGCTGCAGGCGCCCCTAGTCCACTTTAAGGGCTGCGTCTTCTGACCCTGATAGACAGCAGAACTGCAGCTTCATGGGCGTTGACACCACCGGCGCACCAGAGCAGAGAGACAAGAGAGCTCTGCATCCTTCTCCTGAGCGTGGCAGGACTCATAGAACACTGCTTCAAGTCTGGCGCTACTGGGGATGACATCAGCAACAGCACTCCTCTTTGCCATCTTTAACTTAATCCGCCATCGACACTGGCGAGGGTGCTGTTTGTGTGTGCTGCCCCGACTCTCTGCCTCAGCTCCATCGCTAGCTGCTGTGACCAGCTACACTTGTCCTGCCAAGTCCAGCATTCCTTCCAAGTCCAACCCGAGAATGTACATGTCCTCTATAGGCATGAGCCAGAACTCATGCAGTCGGCTCAGGCCCCCCACCGCGACTAAGAGCTGCATCCTCCCTCAGACATTAGCTCGGCCACCGGTGATGAACTCTTGTTGGATGGTTGTTGCTTCCCAGTTAGAAAGTGTGCTGCTCGCAGTGCAAGGGAGCATGCCTGGACGTAGCAGCGACACCAGCAAGCCAGTCAATGAGAGCAGTGACGTGTATCACATCTATGCTGCACTTGACCCAAAGTCCGCGGCAGCAACCAATCTTCCTAGCTGCTTCTGTTTTCCAACCGGCTCATGTTGGCAGCACTGTCTGGTGCAGTGCCCCTCTTCCTGCATCACCGTCATACTAGTCGTGCCAGCGCTCAGCAGTCTCCACCTCGAGCTCCTCCGCCTTATAATGCTGTGTTGCTCACTGCAGCACTTCCATGCCAAGGATGAGTTCTGCCCTCTGCCTCAGCGACAGCTGCTTGGAGGCTGGTGGAGCTGTCCCACTTCTGACACCACTGTGGCATCAGCATAGAAGATGCCAAAAGATTGCACATACATGCAAATGCTCTTTTATTAAACAAGTACTTCAACAGGCAGCAAGAAATGCCTAGTGCTACTGAATAACATCAAGAATAGCAGGGAAGGTCACTGACAGCCATGTAATTTCACTTCATGGTAGACACTAAACCCACACCCCAACACTATAAAACAGTCAACACAGACATATCTTAACCTACCAACACTAACATTAACAAAACAGCAGCAACAAATGGCCTTTCATTAGAGGGGGAAAGGGTCGCATGGTGCAGCTTTGAAAACCACGGCCCTAGAGCCCCTTCTGTATACACATTTGTATGTATAGTGTATACTTACCATATAGATACACTTTGTAGTTGTACAATTACAGATTGTGGTCCATCTGTTTCCTTGCATACTTTGTTATCCCACTTTTATCCCATTCATCAATAATCAAGAGAATAGGATGAAGTGGGCTATTAAAGTATACAGAGAAACAGACTACAGTCCATAATTGTAGAACTACAAAGTGCATCTATCTGTTAAATGAAGGCAATAAATGCAGATACAATGTGCTCATTGAGTGTATGTGTGAACTTATATTAGAAATTTTGTTCCAAAAGTGACAACATATCAGTCTTAAAGGCACAGTAACACAGTCTGCTCTAAAAGATAAAACAGAGGTTGAAGAAAAAAAAAAGATTATGTAAAAATGAATGATTACGTACCACAAAGCCACACAAATGTTGTAAATGGACTAATAAAATTATCCTTCTGGGTCACGGGGGTTGCTGGAGCATATCCTAGCACTTATTGGGCAGAAGGCAGGAAACACCCTGGACAGGTCGCCAGTCCATCGCAGGGTAAACACAGACGTATGCAATCACACACACATTCACACCGAGGGGCAATTTAGCATGTTCAATTGGCCTGACTGCATGTCTTTGGACTGTGAGAGAAAACACAGACACAGGGAGAAAACTCCACACAGAAAGAACCCTGCTCACCCAGCATTACATAAACTGATCTGTTCATAATATTTTTATTACAACACAAATTAAGTATTTAACAAACAGGTTTAGAGAAAATTCCCTTTATTTTAAAATAGTTAGGCATAAGGAATACCAAAAGTTTTCGAGTAACACAGAGTGATGAAATGAGGAACAGAATGAAAAACACTTTGGAGGAAAAAGTGGACAGAAAATATTTACAGTAAAGACAATGTGATAGCAATACCGGATAACTATGAGAACACTTGTACTAGAAGTTACAAAACAAAAACACTGCAAGACATTAAGTCTACTAAAATGTTTAACACCAGTGTTCAACAGCACTGCCAAACAACTTTACACCAAACTGAAATGGAGCCACATAATTGCTGAGCAGCTATGCAATTAGTGCCGTGGAACTCAAAACCTGTTGATTAGCAGCTGAGTTGACTGCAGTGGCTGTAAAGCGTGGGTGTCTGAGCTGACTGCACACACAGTCAAGCTGCCCATCATACATCAACATCTAAGCCATTAGGAACAGGAACATGGCTCGGGGCTGGTTGGAAAAAGCACAGACCACTATAGAAAGTGTACCACTGAATTGTATATGTAGCTTAGGAGTACAGCTTTGCTAAGTGGAGGGACAATTCACCAATACTGCTGGACTGGAGTGTTATATAGACAACAGGGAGTGTTCGGTTTAAGTGCCAGCATTTAATAATGCACACAAAGCAATGAGGCTTATAATAAAGAAATGGAGTGATAAAATGAAACAAAAATATCAACACATTACATAAGTTATACAAAACACAAACAGTACAATAAAAATAGACATCTGACACTCAGATCAGGAAAAATACAAATATAGAAGATTGTCCTTTTGGTACAGTATAATGGCTATTAAAAGATACTCAACAATATCTGCTTAATTGATATAAAGATAGATAACAGAGTGTAGTGTCAAAGGGGTCCGTAAACAGAGGTATGATAACCCACACCTGGGATTTTATAAAATATACCCCTGCCAAGCTGCTGTAAGGGTCTTGTCCCTCTGAAATACAAAATGGTTGGATCAATGCCCAAGTAGAGCATAACCATAAAGAGAGACAAAAAGGCAGCTCACACATGTATACAAATGAGAGCTGTATTATTTCGATTATATTAGCCATTTTTGGCACGTTCAATTATAATCATGTAATAAACCAGTTAAGCTTTTCCTGTACCTAAAATCATTTCCCTTTTTTTCCCCCCACAAGCACCCAATAAAGTGCAATTCCCATTATATGAAATAAAGTTAAGCTATAAACTGTATTGTAGTTTCATTATAGTTATTGTAGTTTATGGTAGTAACTGTGAAGTGTTTGTGTATAGTGTTGGATGACCTGACCATGACTGTTCCACATCACTTTTTGAAGAATTTCTTATTGAGGAGAAAGATAAGGAGATTGACATTCACTTTGGCCTTATCAAACATCTTCATCACAGCAACACCTTCATACTGGAGCTGCAACAAGTCCTGCACGGCACACACACACACACACACACACACGCACACACACACACACACACACACACACACACACACACACACACACACACACACACCAATCTGTAAACTTTTTCAAAATAACAGTGCTTCTCAATACAGTGGAAAATACCACCCACTAAGTTAAGTGCAAAAATGTTTATGTAACATTACAAGCTAACAGTGAGTTCTCATGGTTAACAGTCAGAATATCACAAATGTTTGGATGAACAGTATTTTGTGCATAATTCTGGTAATTACCTGATATTTCAAGGGGAAGCGTTCCATGTCCACTCCCAAAAATCGAGCCTTAACCAGGAAGGTGCCTCCCTCCTCACTGGGTATAATGTCAAAGATCACATTCTTAAACCTGCACACAGGACAGAGTGAGAGACCGAGACAAAGAAAAACAGTGGTTTGAAATGTACACTAAACAAATACTCAAAGATCTTGAGGGCAGCACTCTTGCTCTGAGAGTGTGCTCATCTAGGATCAGGGGTCATACTGATCAAATCGGTCAGAGCAAAGATTTTGGCTTTTCCTGAGAGCTAATCCAAGATCTGCTTTTCCTATCTGATTTTATTTATCTAGACAGAGATTTACTGTGTAATGGGCAGGTCCTCTATCTCCAGCAAGACTCCTTTCTCATGAAGCCGGGCAGCGGTGTAGGTGAGTGTAGGCTGTTTGCTCTTCTTCCCTTTACTGTCTGCTGCCTTCTTCCCATTCACCTGACTGAGGACCAGAGGATACACTGAAATCAGCACAGATCTCTTCTCCTTACAAACTCACCATCTGTTATGCGTTTCTCTGCTTGTGGATTTCTTGATAATGGGTAGGACAGCGTCTGCATTACCTGGCAGTAAGGTTGCGCAGGCAGGTGGAGATGTATTGGCTGTAGTAGTCAACCTGCTCAGAGTGGAAGGAGCTCTTGCAGTGCAGGCTGTGCAGCGTTTGCTTGAGCTTCACCAGCTCAGCCTGGCGTCTCTGCCTGTACAGACGCTGGTGACGAATATCCTACAGAAGAAACAAGAGTGTGTAACTAGGGCTGTCAAGTAATAAAATAATTCATTCCAATTAATCATGTTATTTTGTGTACTTAATCGTGATTAATCACATTTGTCTTGTTTGCTCAAACTCTAAAAGAACAAAGACCTAACAGTGCACTTGGATGCAGCTATAAGTGAACAAAATAAGCTTCATCAGGATGTATTTATTGCTTCCAATAATTTAATAACATAACCTAAATGAAGCCCTAACCAAAGACACCCACAAAAATCTTTTATCTCTAATTCTTAGAAATAAAAGAATCTTTTATTTTTCACCCATGTTTTGCTGTATTTGTGAGGATATTTGGTAGCATAAAAATAGAGTGCACACCATCTACAGCTAGACACACTAATATGTTTATGCAACAGGGATATAAACCTTTCCTTTGAAAGGGAACATGAGCGTGTGTGTACCTTGGCGATGAGCTGCAGGATCTGAGTCTCAGAGTCTGGTGGGGTGAGCACTCCCAGAGCCTCCAGCCTCCTCAGGCTGCGCTGGATCTTACGCTTTTTCTCCTCCAGTGTCAGGTTGCTGTCGGCTATCAGAGACTGGTTCCTCTTCATTTTTTCTGGGGTGCGGGCATCCCGCTGTGCCCTACGGTGCATCATCCAGCCATGCTGCACCTCCTGAACACACACACACACACACACACACACACAGAATTAACATTTCTAAGCAATTCTGTCTTCTACTCACCTGTGTGCACTTAAAGTATGGAGGAAAAGAAAGGGAGAGTGAAACAAACAGAGGGAGGGCAGTAAGTTCACATCAGGTTCTGTATACCTGATCCTGGGAGACGGAGGATCGCAGAACCTCACTCAGTGTGTCGCCAGGCTGAGCTCTGATCACATCGATTATCAGCTGCTTGGTGCTAGAAAACAGGATTAAAAACAGCATATACTTGATACACTGTCAGCTTAAGAGCTGTCTACAGAACATCACCATCACGATTTGCAGCTTGTCTCTTCAACAAGACAGACAGCACTGACGTCCCCTCAGACTTACCTGAGCAGAATGCCTCGGGCGTCAGGTTTGTCATCTGAACTTTTAAAGATGTCGAACTTGCTGGTTAGGGTCAGGGACACTTCCATCTTATTGTAATGAGCCAAAGTTTGCTCCAGGTTTGGATCTGCAGAGTTGATAACCCCTTCACCTGTGTCACCATTCAAACAATAAATTAACAATTTACAAAAAACAAAAACTTAAAACAGAAGAATCCAATGTGATAAAGGAAAGTTATTAAAGGGTAATTCTGCTGTTTTTTTTTTAAAATGTTTGCATAATTAAACTGTTTAAGATATAAAAACAAAAAAAAGTCATTAAGAATGGTTTGCTGAGAGAATTCTAGAAAAAAACTAACCAAGTCAGAATTGTTCACAATGGTGGTGCTGTGATCCAAATGTCTTGAGTGTTTAATAAGCTATGTTGGGTTTTGTTTATCTGTTTATGCAAGAGTACATGCAGGATGTTGTATGGCAATATAGTAACAAAAGCCAACTTTATTTGGATTTCCCATTAATTTACCATATTATGAATATTACATATAAAACCCCGGGAGACGTGTAGGTTGACTGATCTTTTTGGACAGTAAATAAAATATTTGCACTTTAGACAATGTGACAGCTGGTTCATCACCACCACTGTAAAGAAATTTGAGGCAGCAAGTGTCTCTACAAAGCACCATTTCACATCAAACCACTTTGAATCTCTTTCATGACTTAATTATGCAGAAATCTGTGCCCTTTAAGTCACACAGCAAATTACATCCACAGTTTCAATGCCTATACACTTGAGCAGCAGATTCATCAGTTCTTTACATACAATAAACAGGAATCATAAATGTAATATGCACTGGCAGTGAAAGAACATTTTGAGATGTTAAAGAAGGTTAAACTATTCTGAGAACAGTGGCATGAGAATAAGGGTAGGTGGATATTTGGGGACAGACTGACCGACGAGGGCTTGGACAGAGGGCACCTTGCCTAGGTCCCTGAGCAGCAAGAGGAGAGGGTCATTTTGTTCAGGACACAGTGCTTCCTGGTGCTCCAGCAGCAGCTAAATACACACACACACACACACACACACAAAATTAAAGTTTCTAAATATTTGTAAAATTATAATAAGTTTATACAAGTTAACATGTAACACAGCAGAGACAGACAGACTGAGAATCACATCACAATACGCAAATAGAGAAGTGCATAAAATGTGAGAATAAAGAATAAGTAAGAAAGAGTCACACCTTGTGTGTGTTGATGAGCTCGCCAATAGAAATGTAGATAACAGGTTTGTTGAGAATGACCATCTCTGAATACTCATCAATGTTAAAGCGCTCCTCAGGCTCAGGAACATCACACACTGCATGCAGGAATTTCCTGTGAGAAGAGCGGAGAACCTCATTCAGCTGCTCCAGACACCAGGATCCCATGTAATCATATAAGTCATATTAGGAACATTTAATATGTGAATATAAGATTTCACTGTCAAGCTCTTCACCTGAACTTGGTGTGCGTGTGTGTGATGTAGTCATTGAGGGCGCGCAGGTGTGCAGAATCTCCATGGAAGTGCTTGTGTGCTGCACTGTGCTGCAGGATTCGAGCAACGGAGCCAAGAGTTCTCCGCTGGTCCGGCAGCAGAGTGGAACCCACCCCAAACTCCACCACATCAAAACCATCTGGAGCCACCACTGCTGGGTTCATGTAGCGGTAGTACACCAGATTACCTACAATCTGTCCACACCAACATTGATTAGGCACATTCGCACATGTTCACAACTCACCAAATAATTACCTTTAATGACAAACCCGTAATACAAAACCAGACTGTTTTCAAGTAGCAGTAAGCTTACTGGGAGGGTTGCTTACCTTGTACATCTCATCTGCACTGGCCTGAGGGAACTTCTCTTGCAGGGCATCTCTCAGAACCTTGGCAGTGTAGCGCAACCCATACCTAAACACATAGAATCATGAGTACTTCCTCATTACAGCCAATGGACTTTATCAGAAGGTTTTGGCTTTATCAGCAGTCTGATGAGATAAACATACGCGACTAAGCCACTCTCACATTTTGTAAAGCACCTTGAGCTACATTTCTATGTATGAAAAGTGCTATATAGAAATCTTATTTTTTCTTTATTACTATTACTATTCTTCTTCATCTTCTTTTTCTTATTATTATTATCATCATTGTTCCTACTATTGTAATCATCATCATCTTGTCTTGGATAGTTACATCAACTGCATCACTGAAGCTTTTTATTGTTATAGGTGTTTGAAAAAAATGTAGTCTAGATTCAGGTTTAGGCTTATATCTACACACACAGACACACAAACGAACACACACATACACACACACACAGGTTTATAAGTTAGGTTTATATATACATACGGCAGTTTATGGATGTTGCTGGTGATGGCATTGAGTATGCGGTCAGTCAGACTCTTCAGGTTAGTGATGGCGATGTTTAAACGCTGCTGTACCTCTGGGTGGCTCAGAGCCTGCTCTGCACTCACCTCATATGGCAGGGAGCTGGGTATACATACGTATAAAAATTATTAAATAAAATTACCACACAGACATGATGGCAACATCAACATGGTAACATTTGACAGATATCAAATACTAAACAAATACTCGTTCTCAAAGTCACCCTAATAAACAATATTTAAATTTTATAATTTGCCATAATTAAGTATTTATGTTACTACAAAAAATATCCAGTAGGCAGCAATAATGTATTAATATTGTATACTAGTGACAGTGCAAATGAACTGAAATCACCGGTGGTGTAAGGATAGCCTGCCAAGCAGTACTTAGATAAGGATCACTAACCTTATACTTGAGATAATGCATCAAACTTGTCATATCTCTGTTGTATACCAACCTCTTATCATAAATTTAGCATCAAGCATTTTTCTAATCATCTGATAATTTAAAATGCTTTCACATGTGTTTTCTTAGCTTCAACAGCCACATTGAAAGTGGTGAAATTTATCTATCTAAAAAGGTCTTTGCTGATTAAATGTATTGTAGTTTAGGCTACAATACTGTGGCCTCTGAATGCTAAATAGAGAAACAAATACCAACACAAAATGTCTCAATCATCCACTGGCCAACTTCAGAAGTTTAAAAAAAATAAATAAATTAGAATCAGAATTGGCCACAAAAATTCATGATCAGTGCACCCCTAGTGAATACTGTGTGTCATGCTCATCCAAATGTCATTTCTGTGCCTGCACCTGGTACTGACCTCTTGTGGCCGGTCTGGCTCTCAGTCTGGTTGATCCAGCTCTTGTAGATGTCCACAGGGTCAGTGCGGATACTGAGCGTGCGATCCTGCAGAACCTCACGCACTGCCGGCCCCAGGATATCCCTCAGTGCATTCTGGCCACGAGCGTGACGGTAGAAACTAACCAACATCTTTATGACTGTAGGGTTCCCTGTCACTACCTCCTGAGGCTGGTCCACCTTCAGTCTGTCAAATGCACACACATACATTCACTATGGTACATGTGGATTAACAGACCTCTAATACTCTAAACAGACCATTCAACTCAACCGTTCAACCAGTCACTCAATTTAATTAAGGCATTGCAGCAACTTCATGCTGATGTTAAATGAGATAGTAGGTGTGTGTGCGCGTAAGCTGTACTTGATCTCATGGCGCAGGGCTGCAGTAAAGAGCTGCAGCAGTAGGTAAGCCTCTCTACAGTCAGAGCCGTAGTTAAAGAGAGTGAAGATCACAGTTTCCATGAAACGTGTGCTCTTATTCTGTGGCATCAAGAAGATGAGCTGGGCCAGATATGAAGGCTGGGTCTAAAAGCCACACACAAACATTATCAGTGCATTTAGCCGAGACAAAAGCAGAAGATATTGACACATCTTGTCCAAGAAGAACTATATTCTGGAGATCCTTCTACAGTAAACACCTGCAAATACTTACTTATTAAGTTACGCTTTTCTAATACAAATATCTGAGTAAAGAATCATATCCAACAGCGAGAGGAGTAGCAGTACCTGCAGCAGGTAGAAGAGGTGTTGGTATGCCTCCAGTTTCTCTCGTTTGTCTTTGCTCAGAGACTTCAGGCCTTTGTGCTTCTCCAGGGCCATCATATCAGACAGCTCTTCTTTGTTCTTCTTGGTGAGTTTCTTATGGTGTGAAACCACCTCCTGCATCCCAAGAACCAGACCACACAGAACATATTACACAGAAGTGTCAGAAGAAGTTATAGTAGACAGACATACTGGAGCTGCAGGTAAGCATTGAGTTCATAGTTACAGTATTGTGATTTCACGATATTTTCCACTAATCAAACAAAAACGACATCACAACAAATAAACAAGGTTCCTTCTTAAACTTATTAATCCAAACCGAGAGTTGCTTTACTGTATAAATGCACTCTAGTAGCATCTACTGTTCAGTAAACACAGAATTAAGGATGAGTGAGGAGAAAAAAATTATTTTTAGGACAGGTTGTAGGACATCACAGAGGTGAGCACGGGTAAAATGTAATATGGATATTTCCTGTAGTTAAACAGATTCAAGTAAAACATGCTTTTAGTTTTATAATAGTGTTAGTGTATAGTATATAATAGTGTTACAAAGACCCTCAAAGTAAACAAATGGGAGAACTCCAATTATCCCATATTAATTCACAAGTTATATTTTTATGTACAAATACATCAAAAACGTGTTATAGATGTTATGTAACACATTTCAGTTTTATCATGCTGATGTTTCCTCTTCTACTTTGTAGTCAAACATGAATTTGCCTGTGACATACACTCTTTTCACTAATCAGACTTATTTTGATGCAGCTATTTTAATGTCTTTAGGTTGGGAAGCTCATCTGGTTCAAATATAGAATTGTATTGAATGAATTGTTTGCATCATTTTACCAGACTTCTTCTAACAACTAGCCTCACCCCCCTCTGAACATAGGACAAAGTTATACTATTTGCATACATGCCATTATTAGTGGAACTGTTCATAAATGGTAGATGCTGAAAAAATCTAATTTGTATCAGATGTTTAATGTTTGGATACAAAAAACATCAGCTTTGCTCAAATACTTTTAAAATTACTTAGTGAAAACCAAAAAGGCACTAGGTTGCACATAGCACTCCTTAACCAGTTTTCACTTTCATACCTGAACACCTGTCACTCCTAGCTGGCACCCTGGATAATTAATCTTATCTGGTAGGCAAAATTAGAACATGTCAGCAATCTAAAAGTGAACATCTCCCTGTATGGTTCCAACCTGCAGTGTAACACGGTTGCGGACCAATAAGCCAATCTTCAGGTCCATAAGGTCCAGGTCTGCCTCCAGCTGCCTGTTCGAGCGAATATTGCGCACCACCTCCTCTCGTAGGCGCAACAGCTCCCCCTCCTGGCGAATATCATTATCCCCTAGCTCCAACAAGTGGGCAAACTTGCGCACTACAGACAGAGGCGGAGTGCTGGAGTGCACTACACCCACAACAAATAATTAAAAAAAAAAATTTAATTAAAAACTGAAAAAATAAATGATCAAAATAAAGATCAGAAAGTTGTTGCAAAATGATGAACAAGATTTGTCCATTAAAAATAAAACAAAATCAAAGACCATACCCAGCATGTTATACTCTTCACGGGCTTTATTGGCTCTGAAGAAAGCTTGGATCCTTATAATGGCACCAACCTTGTAAATAAACACAACACACACCAGGATTGTTATATTTTCTCCCTGGACACAGGCTGATGGCTGACTCGTAAAACTGGATAAGACTTACATGTCTTCTGAAGTAGCGCAGGCGAGCTTGGTATTTCCTACGAGCCAGCCACATCTTAACTGTAGCCTGGATCTAAGAGAGAGTTACCAATCACATTATCAACTCCTCATGCAAAACAGAACTTCTACATACTTCGGAAAGTGAACTAAGCTCTTACCTTGACCACTGCTCTCCAGTTCTGATAGAGGTACTGCAGCCTCTCCCTATAGGCCCTCTGCTGCAAATACCTCCGCCAGTGAGACTGAAAAAGAAATAAGGATCAGTGCCTTTTATAAAACACCTGACTGGACAGCAAAATAAGCCGTCTTACTCCACAAATCCTATGGGACGACATTATGAGCAGCGTTCAACACATTGGTTTCATATCAATAAACTTGTTGCAGCACTGTACAAACAGTACAAAGTGATCTCACCTGAATAGTTATGATGGCAGGTAGTTGGGTGTTAAGGAAATGCAGACGTTCGGCAAGTTTCTGTCTGAGGAGGAAGCCACGTGCACGGGCCTGCAGCTGCAGCACCAGTGGCTCACTGGCTTGCCACTGCACCTCCCTACTGTGGGCCAGAGTTACACTACTGCACACTGCCTGCAAGGGGACAATTAGGAGGGGGTACATATAAACAGACAGTAACCAGAAATACCTCCATTTTAATCACCTACAAACAAATGAGATCTATCAGAAAAAGAGGGCTTATCTAAATATTGGAGAACGACACATCCTGACAAAGGTGCCTTAATTATTGATGGATGCAGTGTCCATGGTAATGGTCAGGGCAGATACCTGGATCTCTTCATGATTGAGAAAGATGCTGTTCTGGACAAAGCCCTGAGGTCTCTCCCAGAAGCCCTCCAGCTTCTGCAGATGGAAGTAGTAAGAGCTGCCGTCTTGAGTTTTAGTCCTCAGCCATGGACTTTTGTTATCACCTGGTCAGAAACAGATACAACTTGGACAATCACATAGTGTACTCTCAAGATCTAGGCTCCGGTAGTCTATTAGGAACTAGGGATGCACAAAGTGTGTCAATGTGTAATTTGCTATTAAACAGGGGAAACTAAAAATTTGGGAAATTATTGATCAGATATTAGAATTAGAATTATTATACTAAAATTATTATAATCAATAATATAGTGCCCTGTTTTAGCTCACATGCCGTGATGTGTAGTAAGTACAGTTTTTCATGTTATAGTGGATAACACCACGACCAAAAAACAAACTGTACATGACATTTATATTAATATATATTAAATCATTGTGATTAACAATTTAATTGTCTCTTCTTGCTCATCATATGCAACTGAAAGTATAAGCCTAAAGTGGTCAAATTAAGTGATTAGCTAGCTTGCTTATTAGCAATGTTTACGTAGCAGCTGACACTGGTTGTACTGTCAAAATTATACACTACATTGTTGTCTACAGTGACACAGAATCATATGTAATCAAGCAAAGCTACATTTAAGCAAAAGCACACTAATTTTGCTAAACTATATGCTAAAAACATTAGAATTAGATATTAAGTGAGAAATAAACATTACTCAGCATTGCCTTCTAAACATGTTAGAGCACCAAGCTGAAATGCATGATGCATCTCAATGACCACATTTACTCCTTTTTATTGACTTTTATTTGCTTCAGCTCAACGCACCCAATTAACATTTTGCTTGTTGCAGCTTAAAACAATTGTGAAATCTAGCAACTGCGGAGAATACTGCAGTCAGCATAAATTGTTGCAATTCTTTTAAATAATTGCAAGTATGTGACAATTATGACAGGTCTAAACAGAAGATTGGTGGTTCAACTTCCCATCCAGGCAAGAACACCTAGAGCAAGACTCCCTAAGCCTACTTTCACATTCTGTTGTAAGTCACTCTGTGTAAGAGTGTCTGCTAAATCTAAAATATTTACACAGTGAAATATTTACAGTAAAACAATATAAATGTTCTCAGCGATTCTCGAACTAGCTGTGTGCTGTCTATGTTAAATCAATAAATAGCTTTAACCTTTCTTACACTCACTGCACTTCATTTATGGATTACCGTCCAATGCAAAAAATGCTACATTACTGGTTATCAGTTTTAGTCACAACAAGTTAAATATCAGTTATTATTGTTCGCCCAGAAACTCCACATCATACTCTGTAAAAACAGTACAACAGCTCTGAAGAGGCACAGCAATATCATAGCCAAAAGTATTGGGACACACCTCCTAATTATTGAGTTCAGGTATTTCAGCCATACCCATTGCTAACGGGTGGATAAAATTAAGCACGCCACCACTGGGCTCTGGAGCAGCGGAAACATATTCTGTGTAGTGACTAATCACACTTCCCTATCTGGCAGTCTGACTGATGAGACTGAGTTTGGCAAATGGCAGGAGATCATTACCTGCCTGACAGCTCTATCTGAACTGTAAAGTTTGGTGGAGGATAATAGGATAATGCTATGGGGTTGTTTTTCAGGGGTTGGCCTAGACCCCATAGTTCCAGTGAAAGGAAATCTTAATGCTTCAGCATACCAAGACATTTTAGACAGTTCTATGCTTCCAACTTTGTGGGAAGGTTTTGGGAAAGGCCCTTTTCTGTTCCAGCATGACTGAGCCCCAGTGCACAAAGCAAGGTCCACAAAGGCATGGCTGGGTGAGTTTGGTGGCCTGACCCCAACCTCAAACACCTTTGGGATGAATTAGAGAGATTGCAAGCCAGGCCCTCTTGTACAACATCAGTGTCTGACCTCACTAACGTTCTTCTGGATGAATGGGCAAAAATTCCCACAAACTCTTGTGGAAAGCGTCCCAAAAAGTGGAAGCTGTTATAGCTACAAAGTGGGACCAATTCCATATTATTGCCTATGGATTTAGAATGGTATGTCATAAAAGCTCCTGTGGGTGTAATGTGCAGCTGTCCCAATACTTTTGTCCATATAGTGTATCACAGAGACACTGACCCTCCAAGGCTTTTGCACGGAGCAGGGAAGCCAGTTCCATCTGGTAACCATCTGTACACTCTGCCACCACACTCCGCAGCGCCACCTCGGGGAGACGTAGTACTCGCAGGGTCTGAGACGGTTTTCCTTCCTTAACTGCCTGATTGACAGCAGCCAGGCCAAGAGACACTGACAACATAAATCACACAGATAAACATCTTGGAGCCATATTTAAAGCCATACAAAGAGATATTTGTGTTCATGTAAATGGATGATCTGTCTAAATGAGTAATGCTTCAGTGTTAACATGTATGTGTATGGATATACTCACTCTTCAGTGCCCTCTGAGTGTCCTGGTTGGCCAGTCTCACACCCTCCTGAATGTCAGCTAACCACAGCTCTGCTGCAGGGTCCCGGCTCAGCTGCAGGTAAAAAAAAAATGCAATCTGTAATATTTTGTCAAGAAGTGATTTTTATACATTTAATATATTATACTTACTAATAAATTAAAGAGAATATGTTTGTTCACCAATGCACTGTTTCTATCTCCAAATTACTGAATACCACACCTCTGCTTTGTGTTTCTTGATACGGGTCAGCACGTCATGGTAGCGTTTGCCGTTTTGTGGTAGTACATCCTTCAGGCCACTAGAGGGCAGCAGCAATGCAGATAAAGTTTTCTGAGGATCATTGCGACAGAGTGCCTGGTTAATCAGTCCAATAGTCAAGATCTCTATAGAGAAAGAGAAAATACATCAGCTTAGTACAACACATCAATACCAAGAAAGAGAGGAAAAAAATGAGTGGAAAGTGCAAAGGCGGCATTCACTCACGGTCATGCTCCTCCTGAGCTGCGATATTGACACTGTTGAGTCCACTCTGCAACTCATTCCATGTCAAGAGAGCTCTGCCTGCCTTTCTCTTCAGCTCACACAACTCCTCAAAGTACCTGAGCAAAGAGATTACTCAATAGATAACCTATGTTCATCTACAAACATAATGCTCTTATGATAAATAACAGATACATACAATCTTCAGAAACTTGTCTTCAGACTAGAACATATGAGATGTAGTAAAATGAACTGGTCATTTGGCCATGGAGGGAAAAAAATAAACCTTCTCAGTATTGTAATTTAATGTCTGACCTCTGCATTAAGCTGTCATCGATGTCAGAGAGGCCAGCAGCAGGGCTGACGAGTGTGGCACAAAATGCTCCTACATCCTTAGCCTCCAGTGCCTGGTTAATCAGAGCCACTGCAGACAGCATCTCTACTGCTACAAACAGCTCCTCCTGCTGCAGCTCACCCTAAACATAACACAGCAAACTCAGCATGGGAATGAAATCTTCGTTTTTGTTTATGTAAAAAAAAAGAACTAAAATAAGCAAAAGAAAACTAAGAGGTAGTGCAATAAATAAAACATGTTTGCAGTCTCTCTGTGCCTTTGTTCTTCTAAACTCTCTAAATACTTCTATTAACACTACACACCTGATAAAACATCCTACTTACACTGTGTAAAAGCCAAAATAATGTAAGAATTAAAGGGGAATTCCAGAATTTTTTTACGCATGTCCACCAAAATTTCTGCATAATCCAATTCTTGAGACAAAGTCTGGTTTAATGTATGATGGTACACTGCAGAGAAATTTAGCTAATTAAATGTTTTTGTCTGCATGTCTGCACTGAACCAAGGGTTTCTGACGCAAATATAGCCAATGTATTTACTATCCAAACAAATTAAATATATCTTCTGAGTTGACCATGGTAAAATATTGGTAAGTTTATTAAAAAAAATGCTTGTACCTCTCTGCCCTATATGGATTATCTAAGGCATTGTGGCATAACTATATTTTGTAATAAGTTCATGCGAGGTAGTCTGTAGAGGCATTAAAACATTAAAACATCACCACCTCTGTGAGCAATACTGATGTTGAAGTTTCTCTAGAACAGCTCATTTCACATCAAACCAACCTGAAGAACTTTGTTAACAGCTTAATTTCATTATGAAAAAAATGTTTTGGTGGATTTTTTTCTTTAAGTACTAAAACTTAATAGCTTTTAGATTCTGTGCAAAGCACAACTGATAAAAGTCTATGAGCTATGATAACCACCTGAGGGCACTGCTGCTGCAGAGGGGAGAGCTCTCTCTGGTAAAGCTCAGCTGCGAAGGGATAGACATCTGGGAGGTGGGCATCTGGGTTCATTAGGGCACGCACCGTCTGACGTGCATCACCAAGCCGCAAAACCTCATTGATTTTGGACACCGCTTGCAGCACTGTACACACACACACACACGCACACACACACCATCAACTGTTGCTAGTTATACGCACTGAAAGACAACATTGATTAAGCTGCACTTGGGCTTGCACTGACTTGTTTGGGAGCGCTGAGCGTCCTCATTGGCCACACTGACACCTTCCTGCAGCTCATCTCTCTCCAGAGGGTCCACACAGCCAAGATCCTGTAAGAAAACACGCACATACGTATAGTGACACAAACTTTCATTAACACTCTTCTTTACAAGTGTCTCAACAACCTGGTGCCGACCAACCACAAAAAATGAATAGGTTATAATTATGTACAGCAACGGTCCTTCCAGTCTCCTTTCCTCTAAGCTCTAATTACAGCAGACAATTAGGGAAGCATACAGCACAACCTAATACAGGGTAAAATGTAACATTTTTATTTTATGTAGTTAAACAAGTTAACAAAGAATACCCTACTGTTTGCCTTCTAGGCTGAAGCAAATAACCAACTCACAGTGAGCTAGCCAGACTATAGTACAGCCTCCACATGACAGGGTTAGCTGTAATAGTGTTTACAACAATCTGCCCAACAAAAACAATGGGGGCAGTTAATTTCCCATTCATAAAAGAATTCATCAGTGTTTGAAACACTCTTTTTTAACCGTTTATATTTATTTTCATTCATATACAGTCTTAATCAGAAGTTTGAAAACCCCTGTTCGAATTGCTAGTTGATCTTTTAAGTAAAAGTAAGTTAAAACATCCTTTACAAAGAACGCATAATTTCTATTTGCCACAGGCCACATCTAATGTTTCCCTCCTTCAATACGTTAAATTCAGCCATTAAACAGTAATTGTGCATTGAATTGTGGAGAAGTAACTGTTACAACTAGCCCCTCATTTTTTTAGTAGCCTATACCAATAGAAATTTGTGAAAGTACCATTAAAGCTGAACATATTTTGAAGCAATATAAGAGTATAACTGAAGAATAGCAACAAACTCAGCTTTAAAAACTGGATCCAAACGAATTTTGGAACGTGTTGCAGAAATCATTTCACAACTGACCCAACTTTTTTCCTAAAATATTTAAAACAATTATTTAGCAAAGTCATGTTAGGATGTGGCCTGCACTCTCCTACTCAACGCAAAGAGAGTTCACGTTCTGCTTCAACTCTATAGAACCAAGACCAAATGTTCACGCTGCATGTAAAGGCCAGTTTCTCACCAGGGCTTTCTGTTCTCTGTCTGCTGCGAGCTGTACCAGGTACCAGTCAGCGTGGTCTCTGAGCAGCCCTCTGAGAGCCAGGCTGGGACTCTGCAGGGCCAAGATCAGAGCCAGAGGATCGCCACACTCTAGAGCCTCATCCACACGCTCCACAGCTGCTCGCACTACACACACACACAAACACACAAATATTAGGAATTGCACAGACATCTCACTACAATATAACAGAAACAGCACACATACACAAAGTGATTACATTCAGTAACTCACCATTAACTTTAGTGATGTTTTCTTGAATCTCACTCTGTGTCAGATACTCCTCATAAATGTCCTTCTCCATAGAACCATTCACCTGAACACATATCGATAATTAATTAGTATCACACTGATCTGGAAACTTTCAGTTTGGATAATGCTGATTGTAAAACTAAACAGAAGGCTCAGTCTCCCTCACTTTAGCAGATGCCTGGGCTGCTTTGTGAGTGCGAGCCTGGCGCAGCATCTCCTGATAGATGGCCATGAGAGGTTCCTGCAGGTTAGACAGCATGGCGTTGGGGTTACGCAGGGCCTGTGCTGTGTCCTCCACACAGCCCCGCTCCACTGCCTCATTAATGGCTATCACTGCTGCATGCACTGGACATAAGACAGGAACAGTAAGCCAAAAAGAGCAAAAACCATAACTGGTGCAAAACTTTAAGTAAATAAACTCTGCAGATGGATGGGGAAGAGAGCATTGCTATTTAATGACGGCCGAGTTATGCTAGTTCAGGAACTTCAGTACTTTAGTTCAACTTTACAAAAAAAAGACCATTTGGTTTATTTTAACTTGAGCTCCTCATCATTTACTGCTTATGCAATACATTTCCACACCTCCACAACTTTAGAACTTTAGTCTGTTGGAGAATATGCGGTTGGTAATGTTCACATTTGCCGGTCAGGTGAAGTGATCAGTGTTGTTATTGCAACAACCAACATAGGGCTGGAATTTTACTTTTTTGTCCAGAAAACCAAATTATTCCCAGGCACTCTGAGAGGCACCAAAATTTCCTAGTGACAAAAAAACTGCCTAATCTATATGCAAATAAACATTCACACAGACACCTGTAAAATCACCATTATGTTAAGCCTAGATTTTATGAGCCTTACCAGCAGCCTCGTCTACTGACATCTCATTGGCTAGGATTCCTCCGATCTTGCTGAAGGCTGGCATCTGGATACCGTATTTATCCAGTTCCAGTTTCATGTTGTTGATCTCCTCCTCTAGGGAGGGAAAAAAAGGGTGAAAGGTGCCATCAATATTGCCAAATAACATCTCTTCAGGCCAACTGAGCTCAAGAAAACAAGCTGTCTAATGAGTCTAACACTGAAAATAACAGATTTTACCAGTGAACTTGACTTTGCCGCACAAGTCATGGATCTGAGGAGCCAGACCCAAACGAAAGAGGTAGAGGCTAGACAGAAAAAATGACAGAAGAGAATAAAGTAAAATATATTGCAGTATAATTCTAAATAAATCTGCATTGTAATTCATTTTTGTAACTAACATTAATTAGAATCAAAAAAATTTTATATAGGTCTTGAACAGAACAGCAGGTACAGACCTGAGAGCATGAATACAGTAGACAGTTCGGGGCATATTCTTCTTGTCATAGATGTCTGTGGTTTCAGGATAGAAAATCTGGGAAAGAAAAACATAACATTTTTATTAAGGGTTGACAATATATTGATTATTATTTGCAGACATTATGAGGTGGATATTATCAGACACTCACTGACATTTATTTTCATACACATTTAGTCACTAATGGTGGGAATTATATTTTAAATATTTTAATTTTATTTCAAACAAATGAGTGGCATAATGGACAACAACACCACCTCACACAGAGAGACTAGGGTTTGATTCCTCATCCAGGTACAAACGCCACTGATATAGTACTAGGAGAGATTAAGCAAGACTTCCTAATGTTACTTTTGCACGCAACTGTGAATGGCTCTAGATAAAAGGGTCTGAAAAATAATGTAAAACATTTACATTGAATCAAAAAAATTCAGAATTATTCAATTATCAGTGGTGTAGCTAAAGTACAAGCTAATGTAAAGAGTTTTAACATGTCTTATAGTCACTGCACACACAATACATAGATCATTGTGTGAACTTGTTTTAAAATGCAAATAAAGTGAAATTATTGATTGTTGATGTCAATGTCAGCCACAAAAAAATTATCAGTGATTGTATTGGATCAGACATTCCATATTTTTTTGTATCGCTAATTCTTACATGACTGTATGAACCTGTAGTTTTCTATGTACTATGAAGTAAATGATGTACACTTCAAGTCAAAAAATTGGATACAGCTAAACGAATATCCATTTTTCACTATCTTAGACATTTTAACCTAAAGGCTTATGTTTGAATGAAACTGACAAACACAAACAATGACATTGATGCATATGTACTAAAGTATTTCCCAAACAAATGTAACATTTACATAAAAAAGAAATGTTTTTGAAATGTTCCCCAACAAGTTGTTTTCAGCAACAACAAGGCATCAGCATTTGTTTATCTTACGCAGTCCTTGGAAAAGCTTCCCAGATGGCTCCTCATGAAGCTGATTGATAGAATGTGTTTGTAAAACTGCGTCAAGAAAAAGGGGGGCAACCTTTCTAAAGTAATCTAAAATAAAAAGATAAACACTTGTGTCTCTGCATGATTCCATATGTCTTATTCCATATTTGTGATGTCTGTTATTCTAAAATAGTAAAAACAAAGAAAATCCTTCTGTGAGCAGGTGTGTCTAAGCTTTTGACTCATCCCATTTGAATATTCAATCAGTGAGAACATGCAGTCTCATTTTACCGAGGGTAGTCCGACCTCCACCATTGCATTCCTCCAGTGGTTGATGTTATCAGTGTGACGGAACTGCAGCCCCACCGCCTGTAGACACAAAGAGATAATGCTAATAAAACTGCATTTGTTTGAGTTTGTGGATAAGTAGGTATTCAAGTGCAATTCTCCATTCTTCAAGTCTTAGGGCCATTTGGTACCATTAGGACCTAAAACACCACTTCAACAGTAACGTAAATGTATATGTTACTTCGGTGGACTCGTCTTTCTGAGACAGACCTTGTAACGTTCCTGGTCAATATCATAAATCTTCTTGATAGAAACTACATTTGGAGCAAAGCAGTGGCCAAGCTTTGCTAACAGAACTCCATTCCTCAGTGCCTCCTCAAGCTCAGTTGGTGCTGGGAGTTCCTCATTCAAACAGGCCTCCATCCACCTAACATAAGGGTGAAAAATAAGTCAGTTACATTCAGAAAAAGCTGAAGTGGGGATAGAGATGTAAAGCAAGCAATGTAGTGGCAGGTCTTGTCTTTATTCTTAGGAAGAATATAGCTATAGTCGAGCGCTGTCTTGCCTCTTTGCTTCCTCCAACCGGCACAAATACTGGTATGCCACATTTTGGATGCGTTGCTCATCCATTTCTTCTGCAGTCAATCGTTCATCTTTAAAAGATGGGCAGTAGAAGCACATGGAGTATAAGTACACACAGCTTCACAACTAGGTGTCAATGCAAGACTAAAATCACTAACTACACAGCCCAAAAATCACTGAACAGTCAGCCCAAATCACTATGCTGTAATTTAATCACAACAGTAGTCAGTGATGTTTAGAGCTGGGCAATATGACAATATTTATCGCTATCATGACAAATTACACTACAATACACTTTTCTGAGCATACTGTGGACATCGTCTGTATTAAAAAACACTTACTAACTGCATGTTTGATTACAAGGATAGCATAATTAGTCAAGTTTAATTTTATTTACTGCATCACAGTGTGGTAAATGTTGAGTACAAATCATTGCGTTTATTTTTTTAAATGTAAGCTAACTTTGCCTGTTCTAACTTATGAGACACCAGAAAAAAATTAATATCGTGACGTACTGTGTATTGTAAAAAAAAACTTCTTTAAGTATCGTGATGACAATTTTTTTCATACCGCCCATAACGTTAAGATGTTTATTTTGATAAGAGATCTAACATAAGTTTGAGTATCGTTTTTCAGTGTAGAGAGGACGTTCGAAAGGTGCACGGTAAAACATAGTTTCAAACTAGAAGACATTATTTACTGTTTACATTACAGCGACTTAAACAGCTACTAAATCAGCTACTTACAGCCGGACCGGTGTTGAACCCCGGATTCTCCCATTTCTCCTCTGTTCTGATGTGGACCGAGCAAGTCTTATTTTCGAAAGGTCAGCTAGGTGAACTATAACACAGACACCTTTTCGAGACACAACGCAACGTTACGAATGCTAAAGTTAGCTTGCTAGCAGTACCCGTGAAACCAACAGCTACACCACAGACGCTATTAAAAGACAAGTTTAAACTAGTTCGCGTTAGTTAACGTTAGTTACGTAAAAATAACAAACGATGGTCTTCAAAATAAAGACTTAGTAGTTCGGCGCCGAACTGAGACGATGAAAGAGACCACCTGAATGGAAAAAACAACGCAGTGACTGAATGTTGAAGTGGCTGTTTACTCTTCGACAGGTTTGAATGTCCCGCCGCGATCCCATTGGCTATCAGCCGGCCACGCCTCAGACACGCCGTGCATTGTGGTTAATGTAGTACACCATTTTAAGCGCTGCTTCTGGGTAAACGGGCTAAAAAAAACAACAACGTAGTAATCTGGATTAGCAAAAAAACACATTAAGGGCGTAGTATATATTTTCCTTTATTGTTGCATTCGGTGTTCACTTTTTCTTTTTTGGTTCGCAATTGTGTCTCCATGGAAACTGAGGTAAACAATCCTACGGTCAGCAGAGCAGATGTCAGCACCTGTCATGAGGAGGTCCATCAGTGTCGAGCTGTTAGTCAGCCTGGCGACGAGTGTGTGTTCTCTAAAACTCACCTCACCTTTTTCGGCATTAGAGGAGGCTGTATCATAAACCGAGGAGTTCTGTGAAAATGCCAGAACTTACGAAAACAGTAAGTTGAAAAGTATAACGTTACCGTTACTTCATTTAGGTAGCTAGCTAACGTTAATGTACGCGCTAGCTAGCTAACCTAGATGTCGTTAGCCACAGCACCCGAGTGAATTAAACTTAAGGCTTCAATATCATCTTCAAAAGCCTCATGATTACAAGTAAAAAATAAAATGTAGTTTACTGGATAATATTTATTCCTGTGATGCAGAACCCCTTATGAATGCTTTGGCGACTGTGTGGGGAGTGATACCTAAGACTAGTGATAAAACATTCATTAGTGAAGTGTGAATCCTAGCAGCTATTCATGACCACAGTGTAGTTCGTATTAATACAATCTGACTAGGAACACTAGGATCATATACTGCTTTTTAAAGTGAAACCACTGTAAAGAATATGATAAATTTGGGCAAATGTATCATTCTGTCTTTGTATCATTCTCTTTTTAGCATTATGCATCTACACGACTGTAATCCATTGTTCCTGTCATGGCCTCTGATGGTTCGCCATCCCGAGATTCTCAAAAGAAGAAAAAGAAGACCAGTAGGAAAGGGAAGCGAGAAGATGCTGAGGATGCACAGGTCCAGGTGGACATAGAGAGTCTTACAGCATCTGGACACCATGCTCTACAGCAAGGAGACTACTCTGAGGCCCTTGAATACTTCAAGAAAGCTTTCAAAGCTGCTGTGGAGGTAAATAACACAGGGCAATTTGACAAACACAGAGCAGCGAATGAATAAATTAACCTCTTAACACTTGCAAGTTCCATGAAAACACAATTATACTGTGGTCTTGTGCTTTGCATTGGCAGTACTGTAAATGGTGTCCTTATTCCTCTTTCCTCAGCTCAAGGAGACAAAAGTGCAGCGGGCATGTGCCTTTAACCTTGGAGCAGCATATGTAGAGGCAGGTAAGCCCCAGAAAGGGCTAGATTTTCTCTCGCGAGCAGAGCCAGGTGAGAGAGGAGAGCGGGTCGCAGACCTGCAGTTCAATCTCGCAGCAGCCCACGAGGCTCTGAAGGACTACGCTCAGGCAGCCAGGCACTACCTGCAGGCTGCACAGCTTTACCGCTCACAGGGAGATGGGAGCAGTGAGGGGGACACCTGCATTAGACTGGCCCACTGTCACCTGTGCAGGAAGGTGAGTGCTACTGTTACAGAAAAGAAAGAGGATTTAGACTGTCATTATAACACGTACAAACCTTACACTCAATCTGAAATCAAAATTGACCTTTTTTAACTTGTCATTTCATGTCCCTGGTTGTCTGGTCATATTAAGAACAATTCATTATATTGCATAATTTAAAATGTTTGGTCAAAGTGGAATAACTTTTGCCTGCCTTTACGTCTTAGGAGTTTTAGTCATCATGCACCAGTGGATGGGAAAAAATAATATTAACCAATACTGCTCCCACCGCCCCTACATATCAGTAAGCAAAACCACTGAATTAAGAAATAAGTGGGGTGCACCCATATGGGAATTGTGGGCAGATGCCAATATCCAATATTTTTCTATGTACATATCAGCCAGTGCATAAACATTTATAAAATGCCACATCGGTGACTAGGAGTCCAAGAGATCATAAGTGGACTTGCTATCTGTAGATGGGTAGATGGACCTCCCTCTCCCAATCACTCAGCATGATGCTGGTCAACTCGGGCGTCTGTTAGCTAAGGTAACTGAATTGGTAGTAACCATTCTCCTCTGCTTGGTTAGCGGCAGTTCGAAAAAGATGCGGTGACGCTTCAGGTTACTTAGACAAAGCTCGTGCTAGCTTTCACTCTCTCAGTTTTGGTAGTATTGTGTAGTTGAGGGAGAACTAACTAACAGGTATAATTGGACATGACTAAAAATGGGAGAAAATGTGAAAGCATAGTAATCTCAGTAATCAGTAATCTCAAACAGTTTTGCTTATGTGGTTTCTGAGACTGCATGACATACTATTATCTATAAAAGTGGAACAAAGTCTAGATGAAATTCTGGCTACAAATTCAGTCTGCTACCACTGTTTGAGTACTTTTGCTAATTTTTATCGGTGACACTCATACAGGGTCAGAAACAACATAAGCAAGTCTGCTTGACATTATTAACCTCAAAGCAATTTGAGACAAGTGAAAGTTAGGTTGATGCCATCTCTGTATTCAGCATGTTTATTTTTCAATACCGTGGTGGCATCAACCATCTTTTATGGAGTGGTCTGCTGGGACAGCAGCATCTTAACTGCAGACAGGAAGAGACTTGACAGACTCATTAAGAGGGCTTGCTCTCTCCTGGGAAGTCCCCTAGACCCAGTGCAGGTGGTGGGAGACAGGAGCATGTTAGCCAGACTAGTATCCATGCTCGAGAACAGCTCCCACCCTGTGCATGAGACTCTGGCAGCACTAGGCAGCTCCTTCAGTGACAGGCTGCTTCACCCCAAGTGTGCGAAGGAGCGATAGCTATCGCAGGTTCTTCCTTCCTGCTGCTGTTAGACTGTACAACCAGCACTGCTCCCAGTAGAGCCCCCCACCCCCCCAGTTAAATCTCACCTACAGCATGTAAACTGTGAATTCATCACCATTTCCTGTGTGGAGTATAATCGATATTCCATGTGCAATATGTGTAAAATATCTCTATAGTGTAAAGATTTTCCTTTCTATTTGTAATGTTTATATTGTTAGTTTTATCACCATTCCCACATGTAATATAATCAATACTTCATGTGCAATACTCCATGTGCAATTTGGGTAAAATACCCTTACAGTATATATATGTACACACACACACACACACACACACACACATATACACATATACACTCACACCTAGGGGCAATTTAGCATATCCAATTGGCCTGACCGCATGCCTTTGGACTTTGGGAAGAAACCGTGGGGAAACCCACGCAGACACGGGGACAACATGCAAACTCAACACAGAAAGGACCCTGGTCGCCCAGCCAGGCCCTTCTTGCTGTGAGGCGACAGTGCTACCCGCTACGCCACCACCATATATATGTATTTTAATTATAAAATAATTATAAAATATATAATTATTTATGTGAAGGATAAAGTTTAGATTTTCTATCTTATATTTTTTATCTTTAATAGTATATATATCGTCTATCTAGTCACCTGTAACAAACTGTAACCTTGTTAAGTAATTGATAAGGTTAATTACTTTGTTAATTCTCTTCTTGTGACTTCTTTTCTTGAGTGCCTTGCTATCCCTTTGCTGCTGTAGCACTGTGAATTTCCCTGTTGTGGGACTAATAAAGGATTATCTTATCTTGTCAGTAGAATTCTAATTGTTTTTGTATAGGTAATTCCAGACTTAAATGACACCATGACGAATTTCTCTGCGTGTTGCAGGAGTGGGCCGAGGCAGCGGAGAGTTACCTGCGTGCAGCAGAAAGCTATAAGGTGGCAGGAAAATCAGCCTCTGCTGCCATCGCCCTGAAAGATGCTGGGAACCATATGCTGCAGTGTGACCACTTCACATCAGATGATGTCATCGCTGTGCTGACAGAGTGCTTGGAACTGAGCGCCAACATCACAGAGCAAGAAACACTTGGTGAAGTATAAAACGGCATGATGATTTAATCCTTTAATGCAAAGTCAAAAAGCAGCTATTTCTGTTTATTTAAATCCACTCTCTTCTTCTAATAAAATGATTTCTCTGACCTGTTTTCACAGTTTCTTGACCTGTAAAAACAAGATCTAACAAATCTAAAAAATCTTGATTTTTACCCATTTACTTGTTTGTGTCACAGACTACCATTTTGAGCAGCAAAAAAATTAATAGTAATATACTTCACACTTTAGTTTCTCTGTACTGTAACAAATTTAAATACAGTGAGGGACTTGACAGTGTGAATTCTGTTCTGAATGTGTGCTCACACTCACTTAGAAACTATTGTAGTGGATCCAACAAAAAGGCAGCATGGTGTTTCTTTTTCTTCTTTCTATTATATAGTGATAGAAAACAAGGTAGCACACAGAAAGTTCCAGTTGCACATGCTAACGTGGACATGCACACAGCCCAGCTACTCTAGGAGTACAGTTAAAGGTGACAAACCTTAAAGTTTCTGAATGTATCACTGACAATACATTAGGTAAGATTAATCTGAAAAGTAGAGATGCACATTATAGATAATTTAACATCTATATTTATCTATAACCTCAGTTCAGCACTTTTGGTGCACCAGTTATGAATGATAAAGGGAAATAATGCACGGTTACACTTCATGGAGTACTCTGTGATTATGTATAGTCAGTTTTTCATTACCAGTTAATTACCATTTATCCGATGATCACACAGTATGTACCGTACATGCAATATGTTGGAAATCACTTTTTATCAGGCTGTATAGGATACATGAAGTTACAGACAAGAATATTCCACATTGATATTATTTGTAAGCAGAGAACAAAACACCCCCATTACACCCATTGTACCATCACCCCTACTACATGAACGATTTAGAGGCTAACTAACTTAGTGCAGAGAGGTAGACTATGTGCTTCTGATGGATCGCTCTTGTCGCCAAGGGGTAAAATATTTGGAAAAATTTGATGCAGTCTAATCTGTGTGTAATCTTAAATTGGATATGATGATGTTAAAAATTGATTGAACATGTTAAAGAGGAATTCTACTGTGTTTTTTAAATTTCTACATTACTTAACCACTGACATGTAAGGAAAACATTCAGTGGCTTGATATGAAATGGTGCATTACAGAGAAACATACTGACTGATTTTATTAACTGTACAGAACGAACAATAAAACTACGCATGTCTTCTGAGTTTATATATGTAAAGTTGATGATGATAAAATAGTGGCCATGCCTGTATTAAAATAAATGGATTAACAAGACGCTTTAGGCAAAAACGTTTAGCACAAAACTATCATAAAAAAATGTCTCAGACATCAGGCAACATTTCATGTAATAACTTTCTGTGAGGGAGCATTTAAGGGTGAATGTCTGGTTACAATCACCACCACTGTAAACAATTCTGACTCTGAGTAAGTTTCTACATAATGATGCATTTAACCTCAAACTACTCTGAGTGACTTTGTCTTAATAATTGAATTATGGAGAAATTTTAAATTAGCACAATACTTCATGCAGGTGTCCCACATAATGCTTGGAAATCTTTGCCCCCAAGTTTTCCTACTGTATTGTTTTTAAAGCCATTTGGTTTTGATTTTATTTTAAGATGATCTGTTTGACATGTAGTATTTGTTCTCTGGGTTTTCCAGGTAAACTATATAATGCTGTGGGTCTGAGTTTCTCCCAGCTGAAGCTGTTTCCTGAGGCCACTGAGTGCTATGAGCTGGCTCTGCCGTTGGTCCACTCTACACCACGCAGGCTGGCTGTGGTGCTACAGAACCTGGGTGCGGTCCACAACATCCTGGCACAGTACCAGCAGTCCCTGGAATACCACAGAGAGGCAGCTGCTCTTCATGGTCAGCAAGTTAGAAACACCAGAACATCCGCAGTTTATGTGTGTCTAACAGAAGCACAGTATCCAGCTACCTCAGCCACTTCTCCATGTTCAGATATCCAGAATATATTTGATATTCAGATTTATTCTTTCTCTCTCTGAAGTACACACAAAAGCATGTAAACATTTTTTTTCCACACAAATTTAATGTGCTAATATGCTTTTTAAAAAATGAGTCACCTCTCCTGTAATAGCTCTAAGTGTGTGCTGTTATTGTGCTGCCCTGGTCAGCAGCAGCATCACTGAAAATCAAATGCGTAGCTGCTGGCCTTATGTCAGTCTCAGGGGAGATTGAGAAAAGGCTGATGGCAGCATCTCTCTCTCTCTCTCTCTCTCTCTCCCCCTCTCTGTTCTTTCACAGCAACGCATAGATACTCACGTAGCTCAGGCTGCTTTTACATCAGAGCTTCTCCAGACAGAGGCTGGTGTGTGGCATTAGATCCACTGCTGTGTTTTATTGCCGTGTCCCTCATGTTTTATGATAATCGTATAGGAGGAATGTGTTTGGGGAGCAGAGCATGTACGGCTGAGTGATGAGGGTGACAAGTTATACGAGTTACACCATCTTTTTCTGTGCAGTTTATGTAGGCCTATCCACAAGGGAATTTGTTTAATTCAGGCATAACTAAATAACTAAATGGTGAAGATCTAAACAAAGTCATTCAGAGTGGTTTGATTTAAAATGTAACATTCTAGAGAAACTTACTGAGTCAGACTTGTTTACAGTGGTGGTGATAGGAACCAGACACCTGAAAAGCTTAATGTCTAGAAAAGCTATCTAACAGAAAGTTATTACAGAAAATGGTGACTAATATGCTGCATGATACCTGGGACATAGTTTGTTGTTTGCTTTGAAATAAATTGTATGTTTAAAAATACATTTCTGGCACAGAGACACACCACCACTGTAAAAAAATTTGAGTCTGTAATTTTCTTTTTAATGCAGCATTTCACATCAAACCATTCTGAATGACTTGGTTTACATCTCAACAATTTAATTATACAGAAATAAAAAAAACACAGTTAAGTTCCCCTTCAATGCTCAACTGAAGCACAACAGATGACTCATGATCATGCATACTGATGCAGCAGCGGAGGTGGGTAGTACACTGTATATTTCATTGTTGCGATTAATTGTTACAATACACTTTTCTGAACATATTGTATCATCAGTAATTCTATAATACTGAACTACCTCATGCATCATAAAGACAGATTAAGACCAATTATAGAGAATCTGTACAACAACCACAGCTAGTAAATAGTGTATAGTAACTGCATAAGCTGTAGAGTGTTTGATTGGATGTTGAGCCATAATGCTACTGTTTATTCATGTTTTTTTTTTATCAAGCATTTCCTCCTGTCCCCTCTTAAATAGTTTATTTCTGCAAATACATAATATATAAATCATTGTACTCCTAGTTTTTTGTAGCCTATTTTAAATGTGCCACTGATGTTTTGCTGGTGCCTTCTGTCCATTCTAACTTCCATATATCTTCAAATATCACAGTGTTCTGTTTTTGCCTGATCTGATATTATTGTTTATGGTACTAGTTATCTGCGCCATGCTGTGTTGGCAGGATCACAGGGCAGCCGTCGGGCTCAGGGCCGCTGTTTCTGTAATCTTGGCTATGCTCTCAGCAAGCTGGGGGAGCTGGAGGAAGCCGGAGAGAGCTACCTACATGCTCAGCAAGCTTTTAAAGATAGTGGTATGTACCTTAATTTCTCAATATTTTCATTCAAAGTGAAGCTTCAGGACCACTATGTTAATGAAAATGAAGCTAATATGAAGTTATATAGTTAGGAGAGTGAGGAGCTGAAGTGTGGGCCCATATATAGGCCCTTTGGGCTGAAGAATAACCCACTTGCCAACTCTTCTCTATCCCTCTATCTTTCTCTCTTCTTCTACAGATGACTCCTCAGGGCAGTGGCAGGCATGTGAAGGTCTGGCTGGGATCAGAATGAGAATGAGAGAGCCAGAGAAAGCCATTATCTACTACAAACAGGCCCTAGCACTGCTCTCCAAATGCAAGGTTAGAGGCCTGCTCCCAAGCAGAGCTCATTAGAGTTTCATTAAAATACTCCTACCTGTGCATCCAGGTACAGTGGCCCCAGTAGAGTGTTTGGACACATTAATGATTTAACCATTGGTAAACTTAAATTAGTTTTTTTAGGTTACTTCATAAAATGTTTAATTACAAAATACTTGCTTTAGAGAGACACTTTTAGCGCAACAACAAACTGATGGTAGACTCTGGAAAAGAATTCTAACCAGACTGCACTAAGAGTACTGAAAAACATATAGCTGAAAACATCAAAGTCTGTTGCTGTTTTTCTTACAGTTGTGTGAGTGAACTTGATCATTGATAGGAACATAAACTTAGAAGTCTACAAAGGCATTATGGATGTAAAGTTGTCAAAGTCAGCAGAGAAACTGCTCAAACTATAAAATCAGCACCTGTTGCCTGTTGAAACAGTAGACAATTACAGTTTTGGAATGGTCTGTTTAAAATACTGGTCTGCTTAAAATTGCCACTTAGTTTGACATTGTATACCGTGAAAGTGAATACATTGTACCATGATATGAATGACATGAATTTTATCACATACCAGTGGATACCATTATGTTGTTTCATTGTGTAGCTAATGGTGGAAATACCAACAACATTTTTCACCATGAGCGCATCCTCAAAATTACATTTTTACCCTTTACTTTTTCTGATCTATTTAATATGAGTAGTCTAATTATTGAATTGGTCACTGTTTTTTGCCTCTAGGATGTCTCTAGCTCTGTGCAGGAACGTCTGGTCAATAAGCTGAGTGAAGCTTTGCAGCTGAAGCTGGCCGTGCAGCAGGTGAACTAATCGTCTGTGCTGGGGTTAACATACTGAGCTCTGTGGCTGTGTTGCTTTGGTCCAATTACAGCATAAGTTTAGCACTGAATCATCATTCTTGTCATAAAATGCCAAGTGCAGTGATATTTTGAAATGCCAGACTGGAGTCTGAACATTTCACTGCGTTGTAACATATTCCCATACAGAGAGCCCCCCCTGCACGACGAGCCATCCAGGAGAGAAGCTTCCACAGGCAGCAGCTACGGTAATACCACACAGCACTGATAATACTGCGTCTTATTTCCAGATGGAGTTTACTGTTCCTAAGATGACTCTTTATGTACTATTCCGGTGTGTTAAATGTAGGTGTTTGAAAATACCTCAGTGCATCATGATTCGTAGTCTGAAGATGGCTATACAAAACGTTAGAACTGATTATTATTGCTAATAATTCTGGGAAGTGTATGGTAGTTTTTGACCAGAATAAAATGAAAGCTATTTCCAAACATAAAAGTAAAAAACGGCTTGGTGTACAATTTTTATTGCCTGTATTTCATTACTGCGTAGATACCCCCTCCAGGCACGTTTATTCAGTGTTCTGTGAATGTTTTAAAAATAATTATTATTCCTACCAAAGTAACAGAATAGAATCAAATTGTGATGAAATTTGAAACTTCACAGAGCACTGAATAAAAGAGAATTGTAATCAAATTGGGAGGTCAGAAATGGACACACCTGGTTATCTGTCTTCTGATAATGAGAGTTGTTGTTAGGCTTTACCACGCATGAATACTTTCTTATCATACTGTATTCCCTCAGCATGACTGACACGAAAAATGCTGATGAAACTGTGGATGAGCAGCGAAGAAGAGAAGTGCTGAATAGCCAAAAGATAGAGGATAGCTCCCAGGGTAAGGCACGCCACACTGACCAGTTCCAAACTGAAATCTGTAAATTGTAGGGGTGTAACAAGACGCATACTTTAAGGTGTAAAATGGCTTCCAATTCTGAGGTCATGATTTAAATAATGTTTCAGTATTTTGTGTTCTAAATATATAAAGCTCTAATACTGTACCCCAGATTGTAATTGCTTAGTTAAAAAAATGTTCTCGATTTATTACTGTTCTGGCCCTCTAACAAAATAAATGCCCAAACAGACAACCCATAGTATTTATAAGCAACTTCAGAAAAAGCCCAGTCATTTGAGCCGGGTGTATGCATTAGCACATGCCCCTCTCCTCTCCTCTCACTTTACTGTAATTGGCAGTAGTTTCCACAAAAGACAAATGAGAGACCTTCCCGTGAGACAGAAGCACTGAAACAGTTTAAATTTCAATACACTGTTCAAACATTTCAAACATTATGTTTTAGATTTTTCAATACTGTATTGAAATTGTTACACCTGTGCATTTGGCCTTTCAGTATGATAGTATCTCATTGGTCCTGTGCTCTTCTCCACAGTAGATTTTACTAAACAATGGAGACCGACGGAAACATATGAACGCAGGAAACCCCGTGGAGACATGATGATACCATCAAGAATAGCAAAGACAGAACAGCCTGCTTACCTGAACGCACTACCAGAGGCCAATAGGTACATACATCAATCAGCCATAACATTAAAATCCTTGTTTCTATACTCATGGTCCACTTTATCAGCTCCACTTACCATATAGTTCTACAATTACAGACTGCAGTCCATCTCTTTCTCTGCATACTTTATTAGCCCCCTTTTATCCTGTTCTTCAATGGTCAGCACCCCCACAGAGCAGGTATTATTTAGGTGGTGGATCATTCTCAGCACTGCAGTGACACTGATGTGGTGGTGGTGTGTTAGTGTGTGCTGAGTGGATCAGACACAGCAGTGCTGCTGGAGTTCTTAAACACCTCAGTGTCACTGCTGGACCGAGAATAGTCCACTAACCAAAAACACCCAGCCAACAGAGTCCTGTGGGCAGCATTCTGTGACCGCTGATGAAGGACTAGAGAATGACCAACACAAACTGTGCAGCAACAGATGAGCTACTGTCTCTGACTTTACATCTACAAGGTGGACCAATAAGGTGGTTGTGTCTAATACAGTGAGTGAGTGTTAAAAAAAAACTCCAGCAGCACTGCTGTGTCTGATCCACTCGTACAGGCACAACACACACTAACACACCACCACCCCATCAGTGTCAATGCAGTGCTGAGAATGATCCACCACCCAAATAATTTCTGCTCTGTGGTGGTCCTGACCTTTTTAGAGAACAGGGTAATAGGTGGCTAACAAAGTATGCAGAGGAACAGATGGACTATAGTCTATAGTAAGTGGAGCTGATAAAATGGACAATGAGTTGTAGAAACAAGGAGGTGGTTTTAATGTTATGGCTGTTCGGTTTACTCTCGATATATATATAAATGTTACTAGACACTAATATGGTTCAGTCTGTCTGTTTATTTCAAAGGTTTGGAAAGCCAAGAGGTTTGATTTACATTCTTGTCTTACTGTCCAAGTATATAAAGCTTCTTTATTTTGGAACCAAATGTGCTTCATCGGCATGTAGTTGCTGCAGCAGCTGAATGAATGGGAACAATAAACAACAGCCTAGTTAATTCATACATATTTCACACACAACACTTTGCTGAGATTTACAAGAGTTGCATTTGGTGCCAAGACAATTATAGTGGCCATTCAGCTGTTGAGGCAATAATACAAGTCTTTCCTTTTCTTTAGTAGCTTATAGTTGTTTCAGAACAACTATAGCTGCAGTACACCATGCGCTCTCTGCTCAACCTCTAAGCGTTTTGTATGAAAGACAGTATTGATTTTCCAGAAACATTATGATTGATTAACCTGTTTTTTATGCTTTATTACCCTAAAAATCAATTAATCAATCAATCAGTCAATCAACTGATAAAATTAGCTTTCTTCTTTTCAAGAGCACAACAAAATGCATGTACCCTGATTTTGCAATAACATGGTTAGAGGCAGATGCATATATAACAAAAGAAAACCTGATTGGCTCGGATGTAAATCCTTTTTTGTTTATTTAGATCTATCCAAAAGTCATCAATACACTGTCAGACATTGTTACCACAGATTTTTAAAAAAAATATAGAACAATTGAATGGTCCTTGTCAGCAGTTTTCTCAGGGAAAAAGGTACTAAACCCTCAAGGGTACGTCTTCAGTACCTTTAGTTAGAGAACATAATTGTTCCATATTCCATTGCAGTTATATTTTTAGGTGTTTGTGTTCAGTCAGTGTAAACATACATTTTCATGTAAAAAAAATTGTTGGGACCATATGTATCTACTGTTGTGACCTTTACTTATACTTTTAGATCCTATTGATTCAATTCTAATCTACTAAAATAAATAGTTTGTTTTATTTTGTGATTCCCCTGTAGATGCTTTGTAGATGCTCAGTTTGTTTTAATATTCAATTAAATGTTAAATACAACTAAAAAATGCAACTAAACGTTAAGTCTATTAACCCTTAACCTAAACCTAATCTTAACCTTAACTTCAACCTCAAACCTAAAACCCAACCCTAACACTGTTGTTTCACCAGATTATTATTCACCAGTTTATTTACAATTCGAGCATCTGTAGATAGTCTAAAATAAAGTGTACCCCAGTTCATTAATACTGTTACATTAGCCTTGATACTAGCAGACATTCCTGAATATGCTACAATTTTACTGTGTAACTAAGCATAACATGAAGGGTTATAGCCTGCTTAGTCATCCAATAATGTCTGGCAGATAGTATTAGAATATTTCCTCTTCTGTAGCTTTTACAATTCCCTTGGATATTCCCTGTAATTAACTGAGCTATTATCAAAGATGTTTGATTAAGAGTGGCAAAATAGGCTTTGTCCTGACAAAATCACCAAAGTCACCCTGAGGTATTTTTGTGCATTTGGGCAGTCAATGAATCTGACTTGTATTTTAGCAATACTTACACTCTGAAAATGCAGAGGGCTGATAGACCTGCCATTTACTATTATCTTTGCTGCCATGTCAAATGAACACTAAAACTCAGCCTTTAACTCGGTTTCTTGTTTCCTGCTTTATATACATACACTGCTGAACTGTCCACGTGTTTGACCTCAAAGTGCCATTGAAGAGAAGGAAATTCCCATAAAGACTTTTGGTGTTACAGCTTATTTATTTTGGCTTGTTTTGACAGAATAAGATCTAATATTGATTTGTGATGTAAATGTCTTATCTGTGACAGGAATCTGAATAACACATATGAGAAACCTGATGTTCATTACCAGAATCCCACAGACGCCCAAATCATCTCACAACAGGGTAAGTTGCTACACACACACACACACACACACATACACACACACACACACACACACACATCAGACCTGATATCTCAATTTAGATCTGCTCATTATGTTACAATTAGAGCTGTCACCACTGATTATATTAGTAATTGATATTAGTAACTGATGATTAATCAAGTAGTCAGAGTTTTTAAAAAAGGCCAAACAATATATTTGTTAAGATTTAACTGAACAATAACAAACTGCATAGCTTTTGAAAGAATCAAAAATCCTTTATAAGAAAAAGATTCATAAATAACGATGGCCAACTCCTCTTACAACGTTAGTATGAGCAGATATTAGCGATCCCTGCATGTTATTGGTATTGGGAGATAATATCACAGCTAATTTTTGGTTTTTGGTCACAGCATCGCAACAAAACACCATCAGGGCAAGGATTACCAAAACATAAAAAATGCATCCAAAATTAATGTTTAGCATGACAATAACATGCTATTACACACACAAAAACGTTTTTTAAGAGAACTAATGAAAAACAAGAGCAATAAGAGGTGACGAACAGAAACCAAAAGCACAAAGTGTTCAGGGTAGCTCCGTCCCCAGTGCTACAATATTTATGACACTGTAAGTCTGCTGTTTATTTGAGTTTAAGAAGTGTAATAACTGAGAACTGACAATTATATTATATAAATTCTAAATATAAAATGCTATCAGCCGATATTATTTGAGTTTTAAGCCCCCTAAAATCAATATTGTATATGTAATTTTCATATCAGTCTGTCTCCATAAAAATAAATAAAAACTTCAGAAAAAATATAAAAGCACTATGTGGCAAGACATGCATATAAATGAGTGCTTCAATCAGGTGCTTACATTAATTTAGACCACTAGGATAGTTGAAAATATGCAGTATTATCATGCAATTTCCCAAATAGTCACTACTGATTCAGTCAATTTTAATCAGTTTTTTTAATAAAGCAGTTGAGGTAAGATTTATAAGAAGTAATATTGACAGCTCTTATTGAGATACTTAAATATTGCAGTATTGTGTGTCATGCGTGTGTGGTTGCATTAAATAGCGTGTATTATTGCACTGATTTCACTGGACTGATATGTGCTGAAAAATCTTCTTTCTTGCTGTAGATCAGCCCATGTGTGAGAGCTCTAAGCAGAATCCAGATGAGTTAACTAGGTATGTGTCTTTTCTCCTGCTGAGATGCTGTACTGGTTAACCAGATGTGAGATTTGATGAATGATGCCCTGATGTGTCTATTTTTAGTGAGCCGCTGTTGGTGGAAAGCACTGAGATCTCGCCCCCTGCACAGCTTGACAGCGGGGACGCCACACCCTTACACAGAAGATTAAAGTCCAGATTTTGTACGGTTATGTGACCTCTGCCTGATTGTATTTGTCTGTCCTTTACTGTGGAACAACGTCAGTTCACTTCAAAAGAAGGATTGTTGATTTTTTTCAGGGAGAACCTGAGCTGAGACCTCTCTGGAGAAAGGAGGACATCTTTGCTCTATTATTAATATTGACTGAATCTGCTGATGCCATATAAAATCTGATCTAGGCACAGTGCTGTCTGCGCATGAAAGAATTGTTGATTCTCTTGGCCTGATATTCTAAGCATCCATTAGCACCTGCCGCGAATGAGGAAGATATAATGCATCAGTCAATGACACAAATCACATAGTATTTCCTGTCATGTCCATGTGATGGAAAATCGCCCGAGACTGGGCTTTGGCACTTACTACATTATAAATGAATGCTCTACCCGTGTCCACAGCAGCAGTGCTTCTTGATGTTGATATTTTTCTCATCTCGCTCTGCTGGTGTGACTTTTCTACTGGAACAGTCATTGTGCTGGCTTTGCTCTCGCATCATAAAAAACAGCATCTGTGATTCGCTCTGCTACAAGATACTACAAGTGAAAACTCGGCCTGATTGTTGTTTGCATGTTGAATTGCTTTTCTGGGATTAAAATATTGGAATATTTAAGATACTTTGATCACAGATTTGTAAAATATATATTTTTAAACCTCTGTTTTTTATTCACCATACTTTTTTTTTTTTCATTACACAATAACAACTTTCAGGCAAACCAAGTTTTTATATTGGCAGATTTTGTTGCTTTCAGTTTTTGAGCCTGATTAAAGATAACTAAAGGCCTTTAAAGAAAGTTTGTCAGTTATATTCATTCCATGTTTTCAGGGATATTTCAGCAGAGGATGAATTAATCTCACACTTATCTACCTACATGTCGTGAGGAAACATTTGGGCTCCGTTGGTCAAATTTCATGTTTTATTACACATTTTAATGCACAACTACTGTTAATTTACTGAAGTTAACATACTGGAAAAAATAAAACATAAAATGTGGCCTGTGCAAAAGTAATGGCACATTTTCTGCTTCATGTTTTATTTTTTCTGACATGTTAAACTCAGCAAACAAATAGAAGTTGTGCACTAAAATTTGCAGAAACGTGTCATATTCAAGTGTGTTCTCTGTAGAGGATGTAATTTGACCAGGGGTGCCCAAACTTTTAGCCTAACAGGTTTTATGACTTACAGCTGGATCTGTTATAACATTGCATAACATAAAACATAATTCTCCCACATTTTTACATTTAGCTACATTTATTGTAAATGGTCTCTATAACTGTGAATAACTACACTCTTAAAAAAGATGATGGTTCTTTAACGGTTCTTTAGCAAAGACAATGGTTCTATATAGAACTATAATGATCAAAGAAATGTCTGCATGCTTAGATGGTTCTTTGCATGGTGAAATGGTTCTTCAGATTGATGGCGAATGTGTTGTATAAGGTTCTATATAGAATCTTTTTGAAAAGCTTGACATTGTAACAATAGCAGAACCCTTTTTGGTGCTATATAGAACCATTTTTAGAAAGGTTCTATATATAACCATGTAAAACACATTCTCCAACTACAATTTTACCATGCAAAAACAATTTAAGCATACAAATCGTTCTCTATGCAGAACCAATCCCTTTCCTAAAGAACCCTTGAAGAACCATCTTTGTTTTAAGAATGTAGAAATAATGAAATGAAAGTTGTTTAAACCTATTATATATTTGCCTTAAATGAATTTTCCTCTTAGCCCAAATGTAGTCAGTTGACTGAAACATATTTGGTTTCTGAAGTTTGCTTCTTTCCATTTGTACAGCTCCACTCCAGTGTCACAGGAGTGATATCACCCGTGTAGCTTCTGTCTGAATGGTGAAATGGGGGCTGGTACAGCTCTCCACTGTGTCCTGTGAGTGTTTTATTATTGAGAAATGTGGACTCTCAGCAGAATTTCCTCTCGCTGTATCCTGATGAGCCCAGTGTACAGAATGGATTTTTTTTTGGACGCTATGTAGCTTAATAGTGGATAACAGAGCTTAGATAACAGCGTTCAGGTTTGATGGCGGTCTGTAATACTGTATGAACTTATAGCTGATCGTACTATAGCAGCAATAAATCCGCCGCTGTCTCTACGAATCTGCAGGAGTGTGCATGTATTACGCTACTCCTAACGTCACTAAAGCAAATGTGGTCAGCAAGTTCGGTCTCCAGGTTTCTACACGTGTGTTTCGCCTCTGCCTCTCCGGTGTTGCAGCTCTGATGCTGATTGAAGAAGAGCTGAGACACTGAGCTGCTGCTGAAGCTCAGCTCCGCCCTGCTGCTGCTGCTCGACCATCTGAGATTCAGCACTCAGATCACAGCAGATCATCTGCAGCCACTCCAGCCAACAATCAAAGCCTTCGGGTTTTGGACTTGGATTTGAGACCCTCACCAAGTTCCCTCCGATGATGATGAAGAGGAGCTTTTAGGATGGAGAAGCGAGCAGAATGGGGCTGTATCAGTGAGGAAGAAGAAACTAGATGTAGTTCAGGATGATTGACGCGCTTCTCTGAAGGTGAATTCAACACTGCGTGAGGTAAGATTTTCCCTTTCCTGCTGAGAGCGAGTGCTGGAGCTCTGCTTATTTAGTAGAAACTCAATCCACTGAAAGTGAATCAAATATCGCTTTTGTCGGAACAAAATCCCGTTTTTCTGTTTTTGGAGTAATTTGAAAATGCCTGTCGCCCTTTATATGTGTGTAAATTTCATAAGGAATGGACCGAAAGAAACGGCCCAAAAAGTCTGGTTGCATTGACTTACATTAAAAGTAAAGTATGTTTTTTCATTGTGATTTTGGAGATAAGAGGTTTCTGTGTTTCTGGTGCTCTTTACTGGTCAGTATGTAAAACTGCAAGTGGTCCTAATCAACTTCTTAGGTGCTCATTTCAGAATTCACTACTGACAAATGAAAGTAACTGTCGTTTCTGTCGGCTCCTGATGCTTTTGTAATGTGTTTTGGCTTTTTTAATGGGTTGATATCACACTGTAAAGGATCCTAATGATTTAACAGGTGACCACTGGCTGATTCTAAATGCTTTACTAATGGCATCTAAAGGTGTTCTACAGGAAAACAGTGGTCAGTATTGTAAACCATTAAGCCAATTCCCATCAAAAGGCAAAACTATTAGGTTTTAATCCAAATGGTTTATAATAGTCCTTTTCAGCAGGGGTAGCTGACCTCACATTTTAGCTGCTCTTGACTGAAAGTAACTACTTGAGATCTAATAGTGTTCTTCATAGGCCAGCCAGCCAAGGCAGTTCACGCTTTTGTCCTGATCTGTCTGATCAGTCTACACAGTTCATGTGTCCAGAAGTAATGATATAATTGCAATTTTCTTCCAAAAGGTTCATTTAGGAGAAATTTTCAAACGGACAAATTAGTCAGGTGGCCCAGGTAGAAACACTTTACCTTTATTTTATTTATTAAAAGTGTGAATGTCAAGTGAGACAGAATGGTGAGGAGCCACATAACATTTTTAGCTGTAGCCCTCACAGGCATGAGCTCTGCAGCAGACGGCTTACTGAAAATAGACCTTCACTCCTGTTGTGCTTAAGCTCGGAGCCACGAGCGAAACATTCTTGCTTGCATCTACAGACTATGGTGCTTTAATTAAAGGGGGAATTTAAAGCTCAGGAATTTTGAATAGGAGGTGGGAGGCAAAGCCATTAGGCTCTGCGGCATGGGTCATGTTGAAGTCTGGGTTGTGGCTGGTCATCAGTGGTAAACTTTGCTCTGTTTGATATGCAGCATGATCTCCATACACTCCTTGAGTGTGAAGCAGTACCTTAAACTTCTTGCCAGACAACTTAGATGTTAGATAAGCATGCATAGAAAGGTGACAGGTAGGAAGTGGATAGATAGATAGATAGATAGATAGATAGATAGATAGATAGATAGATACATAGATACATAGATACATAGATACATAGATAGATCCTTCACTAGAGCTTCCATTCTTTTTGGGAGACCAAATTTCAGTTTTTTAAAGAAATCTGCTGGGGCATTTTTCCACAGCTTATTATTATCCAGGTGATCCCTCATTATCCGAGTAATCCCAAACACATTCAGTGATATTGAGGTCTGGACTGGAGTGGTCAGTTCATTATTCTGAGAACACCATTTTCAAATTTTCTTTATTTTTTTGTCTATTTTCTTTTCTCTATAATGGCTTCTTGACAGCGACACCTTTCAGACTCATAGTGTTGAGTTGTTTTCTCACAGTGGAAGGATGGACAGCAAAACCTGAAGCAAAAGTGGAGCTTGATTTTCTCCTCTCTCTCAAAGATGAAAGCTTTCAGTACTGTTTATCTGATAGGGACAGTTTTGGTCTACCAAATCTTGCTTGGTTGTTAGGACTCCTCCTTTTTCTGTATTTTTCAATCATTTAATTTTCACCTGTTTTAATTTGATTTTCCCTACCTTATGCAAGTGGATTATGTTATATCTAATCTCCTCAGAAAGATCTTCTGAAAAATGAATAATTTGTACTTAATGGCTGTTTTGACTGTAAATTGAGTGGTAAATGATAGGTGGCCTTTGACTTTTGTACAGTACTGTCGACAGATAGATAGATAGATAGATAGATAGATAGATAGATAGATAGATAGGCTTTAGCAGGACTGATGCATTGATGGGACTGATGAGAGTTTATATGACTTTAAAGGGACTTTATTTAATGTACCTCAGAGCAAATGTATTATCTGTTATTATCTGTTTTAAAACTGGTCATTCTATGACAGGCCCTACATAGCTAAATAAATCTATAATCACTAAGATAATACACTATTTAAAATGACAGTACTTCTTAGCTAAGTACATTCACTTTAAACTTGTCATTGCAGACCTCTTTTCTCTTTGGCTCTTCAAATCACATTGCAAGCTAACAAAAGAACATGGCACTATAACTGAATTAAATTCCTCAGGCTTAGGGCACAGAAGCTCCTCATGGGTACATACTGTAATTGCCCAATGTATTATGTTTGGCATGGGCTTGGTGGGTGTCCAGTTGTTTTATGAATCAGATTAGGAGTTTAACTTAAAATCACTTCTCAGCATGCAAACTCCCTCGTTACTCATTGTGAAGCCTGAGCCGGTTTAGAGCAGGCAAAGTGGAAGACAGGGTCTTGAACTGTTGTTTAGATGGGAGCATTCAGGGACACAACACTGTTCTTAACTATACAGCCTTCAGCTCTGTTAAGCCTGGCCTTTCAGCATACAATGTGAAAGGCACAGTGCAGGCCAGGCTCTGAGGGGGAGGACACAAAGAGCATCAGGACAGGCTTTGTGCTGCACTGTCAGTGCTATCAGCTCTTCATCAGGCTGAGTGACGGCCTGCCTCAGGTGAGTATGCAGCACACGACAGAGGGGGAGCGTTAGAGAGAGAGAGAGAGAGGATGAGAGAGGCCCATATAGCTCAGAACACAGGAAATGCACTAGAACTACTAAATAGTCTACAGGTTTTATCTCCATTACACATTGACACAAGTTGCCTCTGGCATTCAAAC